CCCCAAAACCCCAAAACCCCAAAACCCCATTTCAAACCAAGATTTTTGAAAATGTTGAAAGATATATTCATGGAAAATTAAACTATCCTCTTAGGGTTTTATCCCTCTTGGATATTTGGCAAGAGAATAGTTATGAATCTCTAGTTGAAGGCTCTTTGGAATCAGTCTTATCTTCATCTTTACACCTTCATTTGAAATTCTCACAACCTGGAATATCTTGGATCCAATAGTAACATTTGAAACATCTCTGCATTTCTTGCTTGCACTTGTTATACATTTTAGTAAAAAGTGGGTCTTCTTTTAGATTTGGTTTTTTGAATTTCTTAACTGTATCTTCAAGCATTGATTTTACTTTTAGTGACATCTGATAGCATTTCAAACACTTATAGACGTCATACCTCGGGAGTGTAAATAAATAGTCGCAAATCTTGCACCATAAAAAAACTTTCTTTCCCTTTTCAACTCTGTTCAGCAAATTTAGGATATCAAATTTTTCCAGATCTGTTGGGTTCTGGATTACCTTCCCTACATTTGTCCTACCAAGTTTCCTTGTGCATGCTCTGATCGGACACCTAAATGGGAAACTGTATTGCTCTATCTTGCCCTTGATATATTCCTGAAGACATTCATTATGGTACCAGTGATGGCAATCTGAGTTCTTGACAGAAGGTGATTTTGTTAAATGCTTCTGACATATACTTCATCTACTCTTGTATGTGCCAATTCTAGCCCTCCTCTTCGAGTTCTGTCTCTTTTGGGACCTATTACTAACCTGACATTTGTACGAAGACTCTTCATTTTGTCCTTCCTCACTTGACGATGTAGGAGGATAATCTAATGGGGTTTTGTTATAGACTTGGCTATTTGAAGATATCCCAAACTTCATGTTCTTAAAGTTAATAGTTGCATTTTGTTTACTGACATTCATTTTTCCATCAACATATCCTCCAGAGTCGGAATCAATGAGACTTCCATTGAGGTTGGGGTCAACTGTCCCAGCTCTACTGCTACAATGAGTATTATCAATCGGCCTTGTATAATCTGGATACATGGTGTGCATAGGTGCATAACTCATATTTGGATTTGAAGTCTCAACTTTGATATTCTTGTGCCATGGATATCCTAACTCTTTGTCTTTTTCTTTCTGAAATCTTTTCATTTTCCTGGAATTGTCTCTTTGAGCTTGTTCAAAGATAGTTCCTGAATTCTTATGATTATTGTTTCCTAATTGTACTTGACTTTCAAGCTTGGTTGAAAGTAACATCTTCATATGTTCATTCTCCTGGGTACAATTCTTAAGAGTCTGTGTACTATGCATGATAATCTCTTTCTCGGGAGTGAGTCCAATGTTCACGCTGAGCTGATTCATTTCAAGCACTTTCTCAATAGCTTTGTCAGGTTGTGTTATATTCTTGCCTAAGAGAATACCTCAGACAAGGCTGCTCAATGTTCCACAGTCTTTGACATATCAATGAGCATATTCAATAACCTTTGATAGGTCATTCACACTAATCTTATCCATTTTATCAAATGAATGATACAGATATTATCATATATACTAATTTTTCAAGCAAAGATCCAAATCTTGGGGTTTTGGGGTTTTGGGGTTTTGGGGTTTTGGGG